TTCTCCCTGCACCTGCCTGTGAGGTGGATTCCCTCCCAGTCAGGTCAGAGGACGATTTCTTCTGTCTACTCCATTCTGTAGTCATGAGTGTATTTCCTCAATTTATATCTTAATAAATTCTGTTACCCATTTAATAGACTCACATGAATTGATCATATTAGATAGTTTATGCTTGTTTCTAGCTAGCTCTTATAACTTAAATTAATCCATTTCTATTAATTTACATGCTGCCACATGGCTCATGGCTTGTTACCTTATGTCCTACATGTCATGCTTCCTCCACATCTCCTTGAGATTCTGCCTTTCTTCCCAGCATTCTCTGTGCCTGGAAATCCTGCCTAGCTATTGGTCATTCAGCTCTTTATTAAACCAATCAGAGTGACATATTTTTACACAGTATAATTAAATATCTCACAACATTTCCCCCTTTTTGTCTAAGTAAAAAGAAAGGGTTTTAACTCTTTATAGTTTTTCAGTGTTTTATAGTTTTTGTTTTTATAGCTTTACTTTGTATAATTTTAACATAGTAAAACTATATATAATAAGAACAATTATCAAATAAGGATTACATTTACAATATCCAATCCATTTGTATTTGGCAGTATTTCAAAGAATATACTCCATTATTTATCCTATTTTGGTGAGTCAAAAGTTTTGTACCTAATTTACTTCCTATCATAACTAAGGAAAAGTATAACTAAAACTATCTAGTCTTCAACTTCATCAAAGACCCCAGATGGTTATAGTATTACCTGAGTAAACAGGAAGTGCATTGCAAGCCACTTCCAAACCTATAGAAATGACAGACATCTGGCTGCCTGGACAGTCACCCAAGGTTACTCTACAATGTTGGGGCATTTATCTTTGGCCTACAGGTCTAGAATATCTGACAGACTTTTCTGTGAAGCAGGAATTTTAAAGAACTGTCCTGCCTTATCTTGGAAAAGTTTGAGTCTTTTTCTTTATGTTCTGCTTGTCCAGTTTGTACAGCATACTGTCAGCAGTCAAGGAAAGAACAGTTTCTTTGCCCAGTGACTAACCTTGCCACAATGAAAGCAAACTCCACAAAGAGTTTCATTGATGTCCATCATCTTGTCTGGAGTAAATTGGTGCTGCCAGGAGCAGATGAGTCATGAAGGCCTTATGTTACTAGAACACTTTAAATGCCATATTCTGTAGGTCTTTGGGGTGTTTGAAGATCACCTATCTATCTAAAATATATCTCTATTTGACTTTGAAAATATACACAACTATAAATTTTATTGTTATAGGTGACTAACTACTGACCTGCATTTCTTTATAATCCTGAATAGTTTGTAATAATAACTTTTAAGGACTAGACATTTGCATTACATTGTTAAATGAGCTACATAGGTATGATACCTGAAACAAGAGTACAACATACATTTACTGTAACAAAAATAACTTTAAATTTGTACCAATATAGAAAATTCCATGTCAATGGAAAATATTTGAGGTTAATAGTTGTCTTTTTATCACATATTATATTTCTATATCCCCCCTAACAATGACAAACATCCCTCACCCACTGAATAACCAAAAACCACCCATTCCACCTGTTTGGAATGTGGACATTGTGCTCTCTAGACTGCTTCCTGTTGTCTAGGGGTGCTTGCATATTTAAGGGACCCTGGAAAATTAGAATAATGGTCAAGTCCTGGCTAGAAAAGTCTGTGAGGCTGGACCATCTCAGCCAGCAGCCTTGAAGCTGTTCTAGATGCAGAACTCTGAGGAAATTGCAACAGAGACACTCTGAGAGGCTGGATCACCTGGGCTGCCCATTTTCATTGGTGTCTGGTCCCCTTGCTCTGAAAACACACAAACTTTCAAAGATAACATACATATCTGCATTAACACAAGTATGGACTATGCATTGTACACAAGCCAACCAAAGATAATTCTTTGTTATGTTTGAGCAGGTAAAATATACGTTACTTGTTTTATAGTTTTCCTAGGTTTATATCTTTATGTCTGTAGTGGGGATTTTCAGAGAATCTTTCCTGATCAAACCTGATCCTCTTTAACCTTGAACGAATCCACAGCCTTTTGTTTTCTGTGAAAACAAAAGCATAACCTCTTCTCCAACACAACATATTTTTGACTTCCATTTTCAGGTAAAGACATTATTAAAATATATAGGTTGGTTTAACTCAGCAGTTTCCATATCCAGTGTCTCTCACGAGCAATCAAAAAAAAATTCAAAGTCAACACAATAACATACAGGATCCAGACTCCCTGTGTATGTTTCATCCTTACATGGCTTATCCTTTTTATATTATTTTATTTTTTACTTAAAGACTTTGTCTTATTATTTATAAACTATTTTTTCTGTTACTGTCTATACCCCTTTTCTTTTCTTTTTTTAAAGCCTAAGCAATTTTTTAAACACACTGTAATTTGTTTAGAGTTTTTTTCCTATCTGGATCTGATTTAATACGTATCTGTAACCTTTTCCATCTGTATGAGCAAAACTTAAACTGCCACACAGCTTAGCTCATGGTGCACTGGTGGCTCAAGCTTGCAGACATTGGCAGGAAGACGTGTCTCTGTACTGTGGCTTTCATGAGAGACTGCAGGACTAGGAAGCCTCATTTGACTGTTTCTGTGTGTTTGGAACCTTTTTTTTTTTTTTTTAAAAAGCTTTCTCAGGTCTTATGTGGAAATACATGGCACCCTTTGGGTACCATTTGTAGGTAAGTATTTCTGTCCCATCAGCCAGCTCCCAAATCATAACAGGGGGACTTATTATTAATTATGAAAGTTCAGCTGATAGCTTAGGCTCATTTCTAACTAGCTCTTATAACTTAAATTAATCCATTTCTATTAATTTACATGCTGCCACATGGCTCATGGCTTGTTACCTCATCTCCTACATGTCATGCTTCCTCAGCATTTCCTTGAGACTCTGCCCTTCTTCCTAGCATCCTCTGTGCCTGGAAATCCTGCCTAGCTATTGGTCATTCAGCTCTTTATTAAGTCAATCAGAATGACATATACATTACACAGTATAATCAAATATCTTGCAACACACAGCCAGCCACTTTACCCTATGGTAAGTATCCAACCATCCAGGTCCCTCTCCATCTGTTTCAAGCTTAAAAGGTTGGCTAGGTGGATTCTGTTGCTTCTTCAGATCTCTTACTCATGTTTATCCACCCTGACTATGGTCTAGAAGTCTGTCTGAGGTAACTAATACAAAGGGCCAAGAGGAAATCAAGGAATGAGATAAGGTTTTGGGGCTGGCCACATCCCATTTACCACAGCATAGTGCTGCCAACCACCAAGGGCTCTCACATCAGAGACGTGCCCCTCTTTCAGTCCTGACAGCAAAGGGCCTTCCAAAGTGGCCCTGGATACTGGCTTCCTTTACCACAGTCTGCACCTTTGCAAAGAAACCATTTCCAAGCTTGATTAGAGGTTGGTGTGTGCCTTGTTTCCTGTTGGGGCTCTAAACACACAGGTAGACACAGGAATACAGTGCCCACCCAAAGATTTCCCCCAATGAAAAGCCTAATCATTCTCAGCAAATTACCAGTAGATGTCTTTAGTTGTATGTAAAAATAAATGCTGTGTGATTGGCACATTGGTCTCCTGTAACCAGGAAAGAAAGGACTTCATGTTTTCAATCACTTTGAGATTCATCTGGAGAGGCCATGGGGCTCAGCTAGTCTCTTCCTCTGCCAAAATGAAATGCCAGTGGTATTCTCAAGGGGAATAGATGGAGTTCTCATTTCTACCATCTGTCAGGGAAGGACTGGAAGGAAGAGGCAATAAAAAGAGCTAATTTACTCTTTTTGGGAAATTAGGCAAATCCCAACATTGATTTTACGAAAGCGAAAAGAACATTACTATGTGGCAAGTTTCCACAGACACTTTTATCCAAATGTAATTCAACCAATGCTAACTCCAGAGCTAAGAGACCAACATGCTCGCTACTCTCCATGTGTGGCTATTTACATTTACATTAATTAAAATTAAGTATAATTAAACTCTCACCCCTCAGTCACCCCTGGACATGTCAGGAATGCTCAGTGGTTGCAAGTGACTAATGGTCACAATTACCACCAAGTGTCTCCACCATTTTCTTTTGTGGATGCCATTACTCCTAAAAAGTCCACTCCATATTTTTTTATGCTGTGCTTTAAAACTTATCATGTTTATTGAATTTTTAAGATGTTAACAGATACCAGTAAAGTATTTTAAGTCCAGGTGTGTGGTGGCTAATCCCACCAATCATGGAAGCTGAGGCAGGAGGACTGCTGTAAGTTCAAATCCAGCCTGGATTTTATGATGACATGAGAGCCTGTCTCAAACGAAAACAAAAACCAACCAACCAAAACCCTATGAGTGGGTTTTGTGATATGCAGAAGTTGGAGATTTCTTTCTGTGTTGTGGTTCTGAAAGGAGCAAAGATTAGCTTATTTCATAAAAATTTAAACTATTTATTTCAAACTTTGCATAGTTTTTTCTCTCTCTAGATATCAGTATCAACAGCAGGGGAACTAAACTGATTTTAAAATTAGTTCTTTTATGAAGCTTAATTCTTTAAGAAGTATTGTATAATGTATTCAAGATTTCTTCTAACACATTAAAAGGAATAGTTTTAAGTCAAAGTATGAAAACCAACCACTGATGCTGACATTCTGCCCACCTGCTAGACTAAAGACCAGTGAAAACTCCTCCTACTTAGATGCACAATTTGTTTGAAAACCACAGAAAAGTGAAAGTCGCCAAGCATTCTAGCCACAATAAAAAAAAGCCACAAATAAACTTATGAAAAAGAGGGGAAGTCTACGCCAGCCTGACAAAACTAGAATTCTAACAGTCTACAGCATTAGAATGGGCTAATATCCAAAGAAGCCAAAACAAAGAGCAAGCTTCACATTAGTGGAGATCTCTAGATGATGTTTGTGTGCACTGTGGCGTGTGTCTTTTATAATGTTTTACGTGAAACCACTTGGCAATTTTTCTCTTTGAAGCTCTGACCCAGAGGACTGGGGTGTTCTCAGAAGGGCTGTCATCATGGCCAGCTGGAACTTCTTCTCCTGAAAAATACATTAAATTCCAGACTACAATGGAAGGTACTGAAAGCAAGCTGTTGACTGCTTGATGTTGACATGTGGTTTTTCTGGAAAAACAAAATAAAATCAAGAGATGTGGGGGAAAGATACATTGAGGTCACTTTGGTTAAAGTTGACTAAGATTGGCTGTGAAGATTTTTTTCAAGGGTTTAAAAAAAGTCACGGTCTTTTTTAAAAAAAAGATTTTGTGTGTTCTTGTGTGTCTGTGCCCCCCCTGCTGTGTGTGTGTGTGTGTGTGTGTGTGTGTGTGTGTGTGTGTGGTGTTCCCAGAAACCAGGGAAGGGACTAACAGCATCCTTTGGAGCTGGAGTTACAGCCCGTGTGGGTGCTGGGATCTAAACTCCAGTCCTCTCATAGAGTGGCAAGTGCTCTCAACCACGGAGACGTCTCTCCAGCCCCACACTTTTTAAAATCACAAAAACAATTCATATTTGTTATAGAGGCATTAGAAAACAGAAGTGAACAGACTGGTGGGTGTAACAGGATCAAGTTACCCTCCCAAGAGGCAAACGTATTCACAGTGTAAGACATCCTCTCAGGATTTGTGTCTCTTGGATAACATTAATCTATTGCTTGAAGGGGTACAAGGACATTGTTAAGTTGAAATCATATTTTAAATATTGTTGGTCAGCCTTTTCCACATACCAAGGCATCTTGTATTGTTAGAAATATTGAAAACATTGATTTTTGAGTAGACCTGTTCTGCACGTTCTGAGATGTACAGAGATTTTGTGTAGGTATGGAGTGTTCCCTTCTCATCAGGAGCCTGCTTCAGACTGTTTGGTCCAGTGGTTACAAAAGAACCAGCTCTCAGGCTAAAAACATTCAACGTCAACAAATGTCTCCTACTTTGTGCTCCCCAAACCCACTTTAATTCTTTCACTGCCTTCCCAAATCCAAGACATACACGTTTGTATCTCTTCAAGTACTAGAGAATCTCCCCCTTTAAACAACAAAAAACCAAGAAAAAAAATAGCTGCTCATCTTGAATTAAACAGGGCCTCTGTGATTGTACCTGAGGACAACATGGTTGTGTTGAGCCCGAGATACTGTCAGTCTGTGGTTGGGACCATCCATCTGGAGAATCAAAGGTCCCAAGAAACAACATAAGTGGGAGGGGATTTTGGTTCCCCATCATGCAAAAAACGGCACACATAATTGAGACAAGATCTGCATGCAATATTATATGGCCCGAGCAGGTTGTGTTTATGTATTTAGGAATATGATATAATTGCATATGTGTATATATATATATGTATATACATATATAAATATATGTAACAACAATTAAGAAACAAGAGGCCATAAATTTGAAAGAGAGGTGGGGTACTTGGGAGGGTTTTGAGGGAGAAATTATGTAATTATAATCCTAAAATAGTTTAGAAAGTTAAAATAAATAAATAAATAAATAAATAAATAAGATTGGTAGCTACTATTTGAAAAGAAGAAGAGATCCAAGGCAGAGCTCAACTTTAGGAATACACAGTAGAGTAACGTAAGAGATGTGTGGGAGACTTGGCCTGTTTTCTTACAGAACAGGAGGCTTGTGTAGATTTCAGTCTGTAGTGTGATCCCCAAAAGCTTCAGCATAGCTGGGCATGGTTGTCTGTGACCTCCAAACTCTGGAAAATGACACATGGAGATCGTGAGCCTGGGAGACACAGTGAAACCCTGTCTCAAAGCCATTTTCTACACCTCCATCCTCCTCCTCCTCATCGTCGCCATTTGGTGACCCTGGTTTTCATGGTCAGTTTCAAGCAATTGCTGGATGCTATTAATTTCAGAGCTGGGAGAAGATGGAGATTCTACCATACAGACTAGATGGGTGCAAACAACCTTAAGGTGACTGAAAATAGAAAATTGTGAGTAATTACTGCTTTGTTTAATAGAATTTCTTAAATTGCTGGTTTATATAATTTAGTTTTAAATAATATTTGTGTTTAGGCAGCCACAAGGAAAATCATAGTAAAGTACCATCTCCTGCTCTTGGCTCCTTGGTGGGGTTCTGAATACCACTGATCCAGGCTCCAGAGCCATACACATCGGATATCAGCAGCACCCACAGCTATGGCTCTGATGCCCCTGAGACACCGGTGGTCCTCCCTGGGAGGAGTGAAAAGCTGCTGAGCAAGGCCGGCTGCGACACTGAAGTTTGCATCTGCTTCTGGCCATGAAGCTTCGTTTTCTTAGGCCGGTGGCAGAACAGAACAGCAGCATAGACTCTGAGAAGTTGTCTACATTTCTACAGACATCCCCACCCCACCCCCCACCCGCTTGCTATCAGTCCTTCAGTCTAAATTCTTTGGCTGAAATTTGTTTTATTTTCATATCCCACTATCTTCCAAAATGAGGTTTTTAGCTTTACATGAATTTATTATTTTAATTTTATTTAAAAAATTTAAATTATGTGTGTGTGTGTGTGTGTGTGTGTGTGTGTGTGCGCGCGCGCGCGCGCGCTGCGCGCGTGTGCGAGCAGGTGCCTGAAGAGGCCAACGTCTCAGATCCCCCTGGAGCTGGAGTTATAGGCAGTTGTAAGGCACTCTGTGTGGGCTCTGGGAATCAGGCCCAGCCCTCTGCAAGGGCAGTATGTACTCTTAATTGCTGAATCATCTCTCTAGGCCCTTATTTTTCATTTAAAAAATTCTAAACACATTTATTTGCTGTCCGTGTATGAACACACGCCGCGGTGCACAGTGGAGGTCGGAGGACCAGCTTGTGGGAGTCGGTTCTCTCTTCCCCCAGGTGGATCCCAGGGATGCAACTCAGGCCTTCAGGCCTCATGGCAAGCCTGCCGATTTCGAGCCCGTGTTTCTTATTTTACATTTATTTATTTTATTTTGTTTGTGAGTGTTTAACCTGCGTATATGTATGTGCACCACATCCGTGCCAGATGCCTGCAGAGGCCAGACAAAGATGTTGGAGTCCCTAGAACTGGTCTTAGGCATGGTTGTAAAACACGTTGTGGGTCCTGGGAACCAAGCCTGGGTCTTCCAGAGGAGCAGCCAGTGCTCTTAACCACTGAACCATCTCCTCAGCCCTGATGTTTGTTATTTTAAAAAGCAAACGTAACTTCTAGGGAGAAATGGGAAAATACAGTGTGATGCTTGTCTGGATTGTCAGCTGGAAAGAATGTGGAATCACCCATGAGTCACACATCTGGACATGTCTGTGAGGCTGTTTCTAGAGAGGATTAGTTGAGTGGAGAGGAAACTGCTTTCTGCGTAGGTGGCGCCTTCCAACCAGCAGGTGAGACGTGAGGAAAAGTAGTCTGCCTTTGCTTCTGCCCGGGCCAGTGTCTCTCACTGACAGTGCCATGCTCCTCGGATATCAGTCTGCAGCTCCCTCTGCTTTCCAATGCGTTCTAACGACCAGCGACTCCCCAGGAATCCTCCAGGCCTTCAGCACTGGATTGGGACTGCTGAAGTGTGCGGATTGAACTGCTACCGGGTCCTCGGCCTCTCCAGCTTGCAGTCAGCCATGGCTGAACTATCAAGCCCTTATCACCTTAAGCCAATCTAATGAAATGAATACTATTAGGTTTTATTGTGTGTATACATCTATTTTATATTATATATGTACATACACGTGTTCTATTGATTCTGTTCCTCTAGAGAACTTTTCTGAATACAAATTGTTACATAAAAAGGATATAGAATGAGGCTACCAACTCCAGGAAAAGATATTGCTAGCATTATTATCCTTGTTTTACTATTTCCCGGGAGGCTCTGGGGCCTTCACCTGAACTTGCCTAACTTAGATTGAAGTTTATTATTAGCAACGTTCTCAAGAAGGAGCCCGTTTGGGGTTTTCTTCTTTTGGGAGAATAAATTCTCACCGTTCCCTTTCACGTTTGAACGGCTGTAATTAACAGCATTACTCCCTCACACCCCCCTGTTATGTCTCCCCTAGCCTCTTCTCTCACTGACGTCTGTCTTCGGGAGATAGAGCAGGAGTTTGCTGAGAGAGGACAGCAGTGACACTGTGAGGGCAGTGTGCTGGCTCCGTGGTGAGAGAAGGGTCATGCAGGCCTGATGACGCGGGTTCAGAATTCGCGGATGGTGGAAGTCATCCTTTGACCGCCACGTGTGTGTGGTGAGAACACAGTGGCAGCTCAGTCGGCAAAGCTGCGTGTCTCAGCATGCGCTTACCTGCATACATGTCACACACACACACACACACACACACACGCGCACGCATGCACGCACGCGCACACACGCACACACATGCACACACTCACATGCAGGCACACACACTCATACACACACACATACACATACACTCTCATACACACATACACACACACACTCACACACACTCACATGCAGGCACACACACGCTCTCATACACATTAACACACCTACACATGAACACACACACTTTCACACACACACTCTCACACCCATACACAAATGCACACACACAGCAGTGTTTCCTCGTTCGTAGTACCAAACCTGCCCAGCCCCGACCCCAGCCCACAGAGCATCGATTTCTGTCCATGTTTCAGCCATCTCACTGAGGGCAGCTCGTGGCCTGGACAGGAAGGACACTCTACATTTCTTGTAAAGCCTTTCTGTGCCACATATTACCAACATTTGTGCCTCTGCCTTCAGCAAGAGGAACTTTCACTTCAAATAGTGCTTCTACAGAATCTTGCCATTCCAATTTCTACCCTCACAAGAAAATGTGCAGAATAATAAAAATAGTGTGGTGATGAAATATTTCCATAGAGACATTCCTTGGAGGGGAACATGGGGTCCCCCCTCTGGCCACACTGGCCACAGGAAAGCTCTTCACCCATATGCTGTGTCACTTGCTTCAGACCCCATCTGGGCCAGGGCCGGACTGGCAGGCTGCCTTGTTGAAAGTGACTCTGTACCTTGTTGAAGTGGGCCGGCTGCCATGCTAATTGGTGGCTGTGAGTGCAGACCCTGGAACACTAGTGCGCACATCAGAGCTGGGTGGGAGGAAGGCTTCAGCCCAGACATGTCAGCGCAGTCCATTGTGCTGACTCTGTGTGCCAGGGCAAAGGAGTAGACGGTACCAAGGTCACTCCGGTAGCTCACCATTTCTAAGTGCCTTGTGTAGCTGAGGAAAACAAGGAAATACAGCCTGAGAGGAAAGGCCAAGGCTACTGGCTTCTAA